ACACGTCGTTTTCAGAAAAAACTATTCGACCGCTGAGGTTAAACAGCTAGTTGAAAATTGCTGGTCATAAAAATTGTAAAGGGTGTAAAACCAGACTTTTGAATTGTCTGAAGACTGACTTGCTTGCTTGACTCACTTCGAGAAGAAACGTTCTTTAAGATAATGCTCGCTTTTCGTACACGTAACACTCCCCACGAAATGAAACCAGATCTGTATGCATTTTTTCATGATGCGCGATTCGATGAGCCAACAGCGTGCAGTGCGCTCTTACACAAACAATTATGCATCGATAATATTTTGCTGACACCACATCGCCGTTAAATGAAAGGTGCAAATCAGTAAATTGTTTAGACACGAGATCATGGTGTTTAAAGCGTCGGGCAGCTCGGTGGCCAGATACAGCGCTTTTAATACGCGCGACCGTACATCTTTTTGATAAATTAACACTTGATATCACATTTTAATAAAGCATACAACTGAAGCTTCTTTGCTTCTTTATAGCTTCTTTGGCAACCACAACTGCAATCCCAGTCTCATCTGAACACTCATTAGAGCAGGGGATATTTGTGCGCCGGCAGCGGCACAAGCTTGCCGTCCACGTAGTGTTTACAGACAAGGCGGGCACAGCATTCGGGGAACTCCTTCCTCCTGTCTCCCCGAGCCTCGCGGCAGAACAGGTTGTCGGCCTGCAGCTTCTTAAAGTCCACCTGCTTTTTAACCTGCGGACACCTGCAAAAGCGAAGTGTTGATGAAGACAAGCCAACAACCAGAGCCGCTGGTTTTACGGGGCGAGTATGTTGACAAACGGTAAAGTATACAGAGCTGCTTAAAGCGAATGCAGTTTTCCTCAGCGTCCAAATGCCAATTCATGAAATGTAGATAATGGAAGTTGCAATAGCATTCTTACTAAAACAATATCACATGTTCCTTTTGCTCCAAAGGACGACCTGTGACACTGCGTGACATTTCCTGGCGAGATCAAGCCGTCAGACTCACTGGAATCTGTCAATGTAGAGAACGCCCTCCTCCTTGACGCAGTGACTCTGTTTACAGCCAGAGAAGGGGGAGCTCCATACGTCGCCTATGTTGAACTCCTTGTCAATGTTGCTGTCATGACATTTGGTGTCGTCATCTGTAATATGCATATTGACCGCGGGTTAGCTAAGATCATTGGTTGGAGCGGATCGCGGGTTATATCGGAGGTTAAAATTGATCGCTCCCTGTCCTCGAAGTCAAAATATCCAACACATTCATCTTGGTAATACGGCATTTTCCATGCTGAAAATGTCAAGCCAATGTTATCTTATGCTCGTCCGTTGAGCAACAAGCGAAGTGAAGAAACAGTATCTCTCCAACCCACATCTTACCTCTGCCAACCGGGAAGCGAAGGTACCTCGGGTACTGTGCACAGCACAGCTGCACACAAACAACAGCGATGACCAGTAGTTTCAACATATTGCTGTCTGAAAATCTGACGCTAGTCCACTCTCGTCTGCTGTCTGGTCTGGCCACCAAACGCTTCTGTATGCAGTCTCCAGCGGCCGGCTCGCTATATATGCAGCACCGGACCGTGACGTCACGTTGCATAGGGCGGCTGTCGTGTAGGAGGCCTACGAGAAAATCTGTTCAGCAGCGCTGTTTTGGACGCCGTGCATGCAGCGGTTACAGTGCGGTCATTCGGGGAGAACGTCGTTGGAAGAGTGCTATTCTCGACACCTTGTCTGACGCCCGGCCTTCGGGCGCCGATAAGGTGACAAGTCCGTTCCAGTGGAGCCGATATGAGATCTGTGGTAAAACGAGCCGGTCGACCATGCTGAACATGCCGGATGGGCTTAGAGAGGTAGGCGAGCGGTGTGGGTCATGACGGTACACACTGCATTAGTTTTGAGAACCATGACTTCATAGTCAGTGCATTGCAACGCCATGGAAAAGTCACATGGTGACTTAGCCTCCTCTATGATTTGTATTAAATGTAAATATGCACTTTTCAATAAGGCCTCGCGGCAAAAATATGTAGCACAATTCCCATGACAATCATCTATTGTGGATGGTGATGTTTTTAGTCAGGGTCTCAAGATGATAATCAATGTCTAGCAAATATGTTCACATCATCGAGAAATGTCGGCCGGATTTGAAGACTGCATCCAGCCGCGGACGCCTAATATTCGGAGAGAATCCTCGAGGGCTCCCCACGAACCGCTCACTGCATCTTACCCTCAGAATATCTTCATTGTTCTTTTGTGGGCATCGTGGCGTTACGTTTTGGTGAGACGCCGTGAGCCATGCAATCACGCGCATTTCTGGCGAGTCCATTTCATGTGTCCGCCTGATGTCTGGAGGGAGCGTACACATTCAAACGGCATGTGCCCGTGTATTTCTCGTTGCGTGTGTCTTCGTGACAACCCGCTAAGAACATCGTACAGAGGTGCTCATATACGCGCACACGCAGAGTCGTTTGACCACATTAATTTCAACAGCTACCGGAATGGCTCGCGACAATTTTTCCGACTCAGTAATATGGTCATTAACCAAAAGTCCCAACCCATACTACGGCTCGGGCAACTCTATTAATCACTTGACGCTGCCACTCACCTACGACATATCAAACACTGTGACCGATCTGTCCTTTAGTGTGACATCAAAACCACGTCTATGACGTCATAAGCTACAGCAAACCAGCCCAATCTCATGCACAAAACCGGCACGTCACGGATTCGCGCTGCAACTGTCAGATCGAATGCCTTCCAAGGACGACGAACACGTAAATAATGCATGAAATTCACAAAACCGCAGCGATAGTGCAGATAGAGCGTAAGGAGAAGCCCTAACTAAGCTCATGCCACCTCAGGCGCAAAGATGTAGCGGCATGTTAATCGTTTTCATTGGACGGATTACTGCTGCTTTAGGTGTGCAAGGAAATGGCACGCAGCTGGATTCTCCAACAGAAGCCAGCAACGTCCCGGCTTACCGGGCTGGCGGAACGTCCAAGATCAAGATCTCCGTCGTGCAGAGGCGCTAGCCTGGATTGACGAGTGTTATAGATGGCATGGCTCAACGGCCGAACGGTCATCTGAACATCGGTGACGTCATCACCGTCCGGGGGCGGGGGGTGGTCTGGGCCGCTGTTCGAACATCGGTGATGTTATCAAAGCTCAAGGGAGGGGGTGGGGGGGTGGGGGAGGCTCTGCGCTGCTGCTCTGTGCACAATGCCCACTGACATTACTCCCAGCAATTATCGTAAGGGATGCGTTGTCTTCGCATGCAACAAGCTCCCCTCGTCTGTCTCTTGAGGTTATCTAAATATGTCATCCACGTTACGCTGTAGTTCCGCTCCTTGTAGCGCTAACACGATCATCTTTCCGCTATTTGCCGTCGGCCACCGCAGTCCCTGTGGCAGTCAACATCGCCAGCATGAGCTACCACACCTTAATCAGGAGCGGCCGACTTGCTGTTCCGCACGTTCTCTCCGATCAGCCTATTTGTGGCATATGTGCTTTTCGTTCCAACACTTCACTCACGCGGGCAGCCTTTCCAGAGCGACTCTCGAGATACCAGTTTGTTTCCATTCGGCTGGCATGCTGACGTGTGCGTAGCTCGCTACCTGCGCATGCGTACTACTGGAGCGATGCAGTCGACCAGCGTGCCGCCATGTGCGTAGCTCGTTACCTGCATATGTTTACTATGGGAGCGACGCAATCGATGGATGAGTGCATCACTGCAGTAAGGCAAGATGCCACCGAAATGATAGTGCGACGGCCATCTGGCTTTCCGTCATCTACGTCCCCTTCAGAGACCGCTGGCGCGCATGCTTGGAGTGACCATCGTCTTGCATTGTACTACAGGTGGACCAGAAGGCATCGTTTGTAGGACCAGAGGGCGTCGTTTCAGCATGGGCATCATATCCCTTCAAATATGTTATCGCTGTGACATTGGCTCGCTCCAAAATTCTGCGTGACAGTTTCACCTAAATATGCTATTGTGTTCGCACTTTATTAACGAATAAAATATGTCGTACGCACCTTATTCAGGCCAAGATTCCAATGAAATGATGCTCTGATGTATCAGACATCTAAAATTCGAATTTTTATGGTATCCATGCAAATGCAGTCGATCCGAGCAACCAAGCTCTACACTTCTCTAGTATATTTCAGCGTCGTACAATCCATGGTTCAAGTAAGCATCCACTAGGAATGCTGTTTTGCTGTCAATCTGCTTTTGGCGCACGCTTGAATGTGTAGAAAGCGTCATCTTCATAACATGAACGGCGTTGCTGTTCGCGTAAACTTTTCTAAGTTGCATTTTGAATGAATTGCATAGAAGGTTAACAGTACTTGCTAAACAGAGCTTGGAGAGCGTTCCTTGATATCCAAGCAAGGCGGACGCAGAACACTGCACAATTTTGCCTCCGGCTTTAAAAAAAAGTACAATGCAGTGGAACAACACGCCCGCCTCGGGCCGGGCTAGCCTCTTTGTCAGCTGCCATTTGACCTTTCCACGCCAATTGGAACAAACAGCGCCCCCTCCCCTACCCCCGCCCCCCCCCCCCACCCGAAGACCCGTACCCATTGCCGCTGGATTACGAATGCAGCATTTCTCTGCTCCCAAACCATGGATTTCCAAAGCATACTTCGTTGAATCAAATAAGTACGATTGCTGAATACAGAGTAGCAGTTGTGTTCAGCCACAGTTTCCATTCACCTGTCGTGTTTTTTTCTCATTAAATAGACTTTGAGTATGCTTTGTGCACATATTGCTTTAAATATTAGCCAGTGAACGCTGCAACGGCCCGCTCAAATAACAGCATACTGCAACCCAGAAGTATGCTGTTAGCCCCCCTCAGGTTCGCATGGAAACGGTGCAGTGTCTTGCTTAAGTAATGCCCAAATTCCTATTTGTGCTCTTACTTTCAAGAGCAGCACAGAATTCGTTCAGCATCCCGATGCCTCTCCGACTCACTCTTCACGCAGAGGCATAAGACCCTCAAAAACAAATTCCATATGTTTTATTTAATTAGAAGTAACAACCTTCATTGAGCTATCCACCATGAAGTGCATAGCTACACAGAAACCTATCACACTGCGATGAAAACTCAATCGCAGCACGTTGTAGCCAAAAGTCTGCTCAATCGACGATACAAATTAAGAAAACTTGAAACACGAGATCATATTGCTCAACGGATGAAGAGATGCACACAGTACGCACGCCACCATCAACACCCACCCACGCATCCATATAGCAAGTCGATGGTCGAAAAACACAATATCAAATCAAAGGATCACGTACTAAGGAACCAGCTGGTCATGTATGTTTTAACGAGCAAATGCATACACAAACAAACACTTCAAGGTGCCTTCTTTGGTAACTATGATTGCCATCCCAGTCTCATCTGAGCCCGATCAGAGCAGGGGATATTTGTGCGCCGGCAGCGGCACAAGCTTCCCGTCCACGTAGTGTTTACAGACAAGGCGGGCACAGCAGTCGGGAAACGCCTTCCTCCTGTCTCCCCGAGCCTCGCGGCAGAACAGATTGTTCGCCTTCAGCTTCTTGAAGTCCACCTGCTTTCTCACCGACGGACACCTGCAAAGGTAAGGCGCTAATGAGAGGAAGCCAGTACGCCAAAAATGGTGCAAATTCACGGAAAGCAACGGCTTAAACGTGAAAATCATACAAACATGGGTCATTTTTTATCTTTTGAATAAAAAAGAAGAGAAGTTGCCAGTCTGCGTTCAACATGTAATGAAGCTAAGAGAAAGAGCTTGCACTTCTGCTGCTGCTCAAATGCTCGTGCCACGCTGTTCTCATTTACCGACCCCTCTCATCCACGGTTGTCAGGGTCAAACTAGGCAAACTCACTGGTATCTGTCAATGTAAAGGACGCCGTTGTCCTTGACACAGTGACTTTGTTTACAGCCAGAGAATGGGGAGCTCCAGACATCACCAATGTTGTACTTCTTGTCAACCTGGTTGTCGTGGCATTTGGTGTCGTCACCTGTAGAGAACAAAAAGGAGCCGAGAGTTAGCGCTCTGGATCCCGCAGCCAGCACATCGGATAGGCTTAGTTTAGTTTTGCAGCCGCTTTGTTCATTAAAAGCTACCTTGCTGTCACGTTCGTGAACTGACTGCGATAACAGTCAGGCGGTACAAATTGTCTTGATAAAGTCACCAAGATACTACATTAAAATTGCTTACCTCTGCCAACCGGGAAACGAAGGTATCTCGGGTACTGTGCACAGCACAGCTGCACACAAACAACAGCGATGACCAGCAGTTTCCACATATTGCTGACTGACAGTCTTGCTCTGCAGCTGACCAGAGTCCACTCTCGTCTGCTGTCTGGTCTGGCCACCAAACGCTTCTGTATGCAGTCCCCACCGGCCGGCTCGTTATATATGCGGCACCGGACCGTGACGTCACGGTGCACAAGGCCTGCTGTAGTGCGGGAGTCCCGCGAGAAAGTCTTTCCAGCAGCGCTATTTTGGACGCGGAGTATGCGCATTGTTAACAAGGTACTATCATGGACGCCGAGTCCGACGCCCGGACTGTGGTCCATTCAAGCGGAACCGAGATGGGATCTGCGGTGAAATCCAGCCGCTTTACCATACTGACCACGCCGGATGAGATTAAAGGGGCGTGCAAGAGAACTGAGTCGAGTTAAACCACACTGCTTTATTTTTAGGTATAGTGCTCGTCATCGCGCCGCCGCACACCATGACCAATACAATACCGCGGTCATTCGGCGAGGGCACCATCCGTGGGGGTGTCATACGTGGCATTATGCGACACACAACCTTTGAGAAAACTCTACGTTGACGTGTTCGTTTTAGGGGAAACGAGGTGCAACTTTTGCCAAACCAACCGCTTGGCTATAGGGCATGCATCAGGACGCGAGAGCAGAGGTTGCCAGGCCATCAGATCGAGAAACTGAACAGACCCTGAATTGTTAACTTTGCCGGACCACATTGCCTATTTAAACTAACTTTTACTCGTGAGAAAGTGAGAGGACACACAAAAGCTCGCCAACCTCGCTAGGCCTGTGTCACGACTTTCCATAAACAGAAAATACTGGATTCAAACCGAGCCTACATAATTACGACAGGCCCAAAAAGTAAGCACTCACGCACCTGCTCACCAGCCCAGAGATAATAGATGGGTGCCTCTTTCATTGCGCCACTACGTTGTTGACCGCTTTCGTAATTATGCTCTAAGTACACAATGCCATATCGAAATGGGGTTTACAGGCTACAGCAGGCCAGGAAAGTAAGCTTTTACAAGCCTGTTTTTCAAAACTACAGGTTTATATACAGGTATTGTTTGCAGCCTTTCTTGATCTTCTTCGATTCTACCCACACACAGCTGCAGTTGCAATAACTACCAACGTACTGCGTTTCGTTTCAGCTTATGTGGTCGCAAATTTTATCCCCAAGGTAGAAACTTTCCCTCCATTCACAGACGCTCAGACATTTATTGTGTTGAGCTTAATACCGATCAGGATTTTTTACCAAGTGCCATTCTCTACAGCAGCTGTTCAACTGAAGAAGTACGCAACATAGCCTATGAACCGTAGTATTTACATTTCATTTCTTTCATGGTGAGTCATCTTTCATGAATGAGACGCTTCAGCCTACAGTAAGGACCGCTGGAGGACCACCCTACAGTTCTGAAGAGGTGGGAAGGCGCCACAAAGGTGACCATTCTCACGACAATGCTCAGATAAGGCCACCAATCTTGGATTAGCCGTGTGCGTACGTGGTTTGGCGTTCGGAGTTGTCACTTGATCAGACCATTTGTCCATGGTCATGCCGCTCAGACGATGTCGCGACAACATGAAAGGCGCTCAAAGACCGCCAGGGCCCGACAACTCTAAAGCACCGCGATTAGGATAGCTGGCCGCGGAACAAACATGCCTACGATGATCGCACGGAGCCCAACGAGGCTTGCGATAGAAAAATGTTCATTGGTTCAGAGTTCAATAAAATGGACCCAGAGACGATCAGATGGTCTAAAACAATAGAGCGTTAGCAAAGTGCGATCGACTTTCGGTACCCGTGCGACTGGAGTCTACGGACGGCTGCAGGATCGAAGACTGGTATGTGACCTCCTGAGAGGTTCAAGGATGTCTCAAAATACCAGAACAATATGTGGCCGAGACCACGAGCCTCGAGTGCTTAGGCTGGAATGAAGATGGCTAAATGCCACTGGTGCTGCCAGGGGACGTTCTAGACACGAAGCTCGAAGGCGAGAACCGACTCCAAGGGTCTTGGGACGGAGGTCTGTCAGAAAGACGTGTGAGAACGCAAGAGTGTCCTGAAGACAGTTATTGACACAAGACGGTCAATCAAATTTGAGCCATGAACCAAGCAAGGGGTTTTTGAACAGAAAGCGACAGGGAGCTAAATGATCTCAGAACAAGTGATCGGCGATGGCTGAATCTGTCTGCTGGCCAGCCCAGACTTCAGTGGCTGGCGTCTGCTCCTCTCCACGTAACATTCCGGGCATTGCGTCACTATGTGCTTACGCGTCACTTGCGGTAGGCTGGCCAAGGACCACAATAAGAGTCAGTTGAGCAAATAGTCAAAACGCATTTTGTTTTAGTGTCTTTATGTGCTATGATTTACACAGCGCAGTTTCATGCTTTATATCACCATTTACCACCTAACCACCATTATCACCTAACGACCATTTCTAGTGATTTTGTGCGCATTCGCTCATGAAACGTGCTGTAAATCATTGGTGTGGCCCAACCCGACATCTGAGGTATGCTCTAGGGTATTCGCCAGCCGTAACCGGTTAATGGTAAAAGTACCCTCTGTTTTTAGATCTGGCCACCAGATGTAAACAGTTATAATTTTAACCAGCATATCCGCCAAACATGGCCATGGATTCCTCGTCTTGGCGTCTGTCGCATGAAGTCACAGGAGCGTAAGTTGCCTTGAAAACTACCCACATTAACGAACTAGTTTAGGGCTTTCTAGCATCCACGATAACGACCGCATTCCCTTGCAGCTGGCACCAAACAATAGAGCCAGTTCTTGCTTATCAGAATCATACCATGGCGTTCACAGAGGTCAAGGCTATACTTAATGACGGGGCGAGGTGAAATCAGTTCAAGGTTCGTTGACCCGGACAACGCCGACGGACAACGTCCCTGGTCAATGTCGGGCCACGTGCCAAGGCAAACGACCCAGTGCCAACCTCAATTTTTTTACTCAGAACATGAACTGCATGGGTCAGGGGAACAGGCAGAATGTTCTTAAGGGCGGCGGAGGCTTGGGGGGGGGGGGGGGGGGGGCAGAGCTCAGTGGGAACTCATTATGAGAGAGCTGGCAAAGATCGCACATTCGACTTGCTCGAATACATCCATTCGGTGTCGCCGCACTGCACCCTGTAGTTCATTCTAAAGGGTACAGCGATTTCTAGCTTTCTCTCAGGAGGCATCTGCGGTGCTAAAATAAAAGTAATGAGGAACTGGGAGAGAAGGAGTGGGGATGGGGTGTCTCATTAGCCGCTTCCCTTGTATGAGATATTTGTTTGCTCATTTGGTCTGGCAAATGAGCCACACGTATATTAACTGCGCCAAAAACAACGTAGTCTTTGCAACTCACATGCTCAAGATGGAAACGCGGGAGATTTTTCAATCAGCAACCGTGCCATCCACTGCTCGCCAATTCCTTACAGACCCTGCGCTGCAAGCGCTAGTTGAAGTCTGGTAATATTTCTACAGCTCAGCGAATCTTGCCACATGGGAAACTTAGTTTTCTAGAACGATTCACAAGACGTCCACTTTAAAAGTCCAGTTATTACCGGTCGTTATGCTCAAATGGAAGTCGGTACTCCACGAATACCAAGATCTTTCCACCTCTGAATCTATATTTACCCCACGAACGCACGCAGCAGTGACGTCACTAACCACCAAGAGCCAGTCTCTCAGCGGCGGGTCTCAACCCGTGACGCCACCATCCTGACGTCACGGGCGGCGGCGGCCGGCTCTAGCCCCAGCTCACCGGATGCGTTCGTCACTGACCGGCTGCCGAGATGATCCCCGAGATGGAATGCATGCATCTTCGCTTCAAAGCAACAGCCTGTGAATAATGTATGACCTGTGCACATTGTGAAGCGCTGATTCAGCTATCCATGGCATCACATTCAGTTGGGGCGAACGCATCTCCCACCTAGCTTAGTGCACAACAGCACATGCATCGGAAGTATTCTTCGGAAACATCCCACCTCCTCCACCTTCGGACAGCGTGGCGAGGATTCCGCGACAAATTCCTCGCCACCGCATGCAGCGGCGAGAAGTCCGGCGCCAGTGAGGCCCCATTATGTCTGGGCTCGCACGAGCAGGGCGCAAGCCAGGGCTGATGCCCACGCGCGGTGTTCACCAGCGATGTGAGCAATGTCCTGGGAAAGGATTAGGTCGGCCAGTTTTCAGCGGCGTGCCGAGCTGTCCTCAGTTGACGGCGTTGCCAAAGGTGTGACCTGTCCACGTTCGGGAACTCCAGGTCCCACACAAGATACCGGCATAGCAAATGCTTGCACGAGTGCATTTCTGTGCCTGCAGCCGCGTGTGGGAGGGGAAAGTATGGGGGGATGTGGTCGTCTGACCCTAGGCTAAAGCCCTATTAACATGATCTCTACGACCCGTCCATAGGCAAGCGGGTGGAAGCTAACCAGCCAGCTTCAATCTCACACAGGACTGTGACGTAACCGCCATGTGCAACACGTAAGATGTGATCCCTCGGTCCGTCTGGCACGAGCAGAGACGACAGGTGAAGTTACCTGTTGAACTTGGATGATGTAATCTAGGTGGAGGCTCTCGATTCAGGAAGGAAGCCAGTCTTAGCAAATGCTGTTAGTGAGATACTACTCATGACTTTTTTTAAAACGTACAGTGTAGTCAAATGTATTTTATAATGCCCCAGTATTATGTTAAGCATTAATCTCAAACTTTCTTTCAGTCACCACCAAATTGCAACACGCATGAAGGCAAACCAGCGTCAGACTTGAAAACCACTGTCTTCACGACATTCTCTAGATCAGCGCACTTTACCAATTGACATATAGTGCATCTTTTCCCTTCAGGTCTTTTTGCCGAAGCGTTCTTCTTCACCGCGGTACCAGCCAGACCGAGGCTCATTAGCAATACTCTGCTCACTCTACCAAACATTAACGTCCAAAAGAACTGGCGTGTTCACATTATCACAGTGCTGAATAATACGCATGGACAAGGCATGGATAAATCGCACCATAGCGGGGCCGTACCGCGGCGGGCCAAGAGCGCATGCAAGTGTCGACGGCATTAGGTGTGTATGTGCGTACTGTTAGCTTTTTCTGTCTTCTGGGACCAGAGAACGCCTGGCAAAACATTTCTACATCCCACCTCCGCTTGTTTCTGCTGACCGATCCATGGCTTTTCTTGGCCGTTTGCAGTATTGCGGAGCGGTGGTCTTTACACCGGATCCCATCCCGGTCCGACCTCAAATACGTGCGTCACGGTGAAGGCCCCCAAACACCGGGCGTCAGGCACATGCTAGAATAGCGCCTCTCGGGAGGATTTCCTCCTGGAAAACTACGCTGATCACGACCGGCCCTGTGCACCGTGACGTCACAGACCGGTGCCGCATATATAACGAGCCGGCCGCTGGGGACTGCATACAGAAGAGTTCGGTGACCACACCAGACAGCAAACGAGAGTGAACTCTGGTCAGCTACAGTGCAAGACTTTCAGTCAGCAATATGTGGAAACTGCTGGTCATCGCTGCTGTTTGTGTGCAGCTGTGCTGTGCACAGTACCCGAGATACCTTCGTTTCCCGGTTGGCAGAGGTAAGATCTAATAATGCGATGTCATGGCAACTTTATATATCCCATTGATACCGCTTGCCTTGTCTTGCAGTCAGATAACAACGATGACAGAAAACTGGCTTTTCAAGAACAAAGTATCTGCAAAGCGAAACGAAACGGGCCAGGTGATTTGGTTACGAGATCCTGAGGGCTAACTCTCGCCCCGTGTCTTTTCTCTTTCTCTACAGGTGACGACACCAAATGTCATGACAACCAGGTTGACAAGAAGTACAATATCGGTGATGTCTGGAGCTCCCCATTCTCTGGCTGTAAGCAGAGTCACTGCGTCAAGGACGACGGCGTTCTCTACATCGACAGATTCCAGTGAGCATGATATGCAGTCGTCAATTAGTGGATGGAGGTCGGGATGTTGACAACAATCACCGTGCAATTCTTGTAACCTAAAAAAACACCCTGCACGCTATGCAAGAGCTCCGTCATTTCCAGTTTCCAGCGTTGATTAAGTCCACAACATGCTAATGTAAACCATTATTTTTATGACGAACGTTTAAATTTGCCGGCGATTCCAATCATGCGTGCTGAAGGTTGCTTTGATGTCCCCGTCCTATCGAGTTTTGTAATTTACCCAATCACTTTACAGGTGTCCGTCGGTGAGAAAGCAGGTGGACTTCAAGAAGTTGAAGGCCAATAACCTGTTCTGCCGCGAGGCTCGGGGAGATAGGAGGAAGGAGTTTCCCGACTGCTGTGCCCGCCTTGTCTGTAAACACTACGTGGACGGCAAGCTTGTGCCGCTGCCGGCGCACAAATATCCCCTGCTCTAGTCAGGGCTGGGATGGAACTACAGCTGCGGGAGTGCGAACCAAAGATGTCTGAAAATCCATCCGTGTATGGGAAGTTGGTATAGCCAGATGTTCCTATTGCTGTGCTGGCTTTCAGTGGAAGTCTTGTGATATTGGTGTCATGTCTAGTTATATGGTTTTTGTGCGTACAAGTATCACTTTGTTGACTGCTGGCTGCCAGCTTTGTACAGCACCAACTTGATGCTCAGGTAAATATACTTTTGAATCTGGATATGAGAACTGTTGAGACATGTGGCAGTCATTCTTCATAATTTCGCCACTCATAGCCGTGTTGTGATCATCCATGCACCGATGAAACATTCAAGGGCGGTGCCAACAGTCAGATACACTTCATCTAATATTCCCCGTTCGAAACGCAATAAAATCAAGGCTCGGATGGCAGCACGAATAAACCTGAAATATGTGACTTTTTCAACATGAATGAAATCTGCAACAATAAGAGAAAGAAATCACATAATTGTTTCCTTCAGTGCGTGACAGAATGGCAACAGCAGCTACTTGGCCAGCGTGGTTTTCAGCTATCCATCGAATCTTGCTGGTCACGTTACTATCAGTACATGTTAGTGTGATCAGTGCAAAAACACGCATCATAGAGGTTTCTGAAAGCCGCATCCCTACAGCCTGCGTTCTAAGATTCGACGACTTTCCTAAACACAAATTCTACCAGACCCGTCACAAAGGCTTTGCGAGACAACTCATGGCCAATTGCGTTCTCTTCAAAACGAGTGTTCCGTCCCTCATTCACCGACGACACCCTGGGGATGTTTCACTGAAGTGAGATATGCAACGGCTCACTACATCAATCATGATCGATGTATGCGACAAGTGAGCGTGTGAACTCCACATGATGACTTCAAGAATAAGAATGGGAGAAGATTGGATGCTTAGGTGTGAGTATGAGCCATGCTTAAAGAGATGTATGTAAAGTTAGCAAAAAATTAACTTCTGCTAAAGGTTATCAGTAACTTAGATCTGTGAAACTGCTAAAAAGCTAACAGAAAATATAGATGTTGTGGTAATCCATTACTTCCTTCCTACTTTCAATGGTGATAATAGAGCTGGTTTCTGGTGTCCGCCGGTATTCGGTCGAACTGCATTCGGAGACACCGAATGGGCGGGTGAGTTTTGGTGAAAAATGCGCGATCTGTGCTTGGGTTCTTCGCATGCATCCCGATCACTAGAAGGTGATCGGTTGTCGCTCTTGAATGCCCCTGACCATTGTCACCGCGCGTTACAGCACTTGCTTCTGCTTTTAGGGTGGTGGGGAGGGTCAAAAGATGTTATAAGAGCAACTTTTCCTGAGTCAACCTCTGCCTGCTTCCAACGTCCCTGGCTTATTCCTTTAGAAGACATTCAATGCATAGTCGAACGGACCTTCAGTACATGCCAGTATATCGCAGTATATTCACAACATGACAAAGTATTTCTGTGCGTTGAACCGGCCGCACTAAACACACACATTTTCCCGAACCTTTTTTAATTTTGTTTCTCTCTGAGGCTGATGTAGGCATCCACCATTACTCGTAGATTAACTGCTTCTGAACAACGCTTGTTCTCAAGAAAAAGCGTAACCGCGTTCAGATGAGGCTGACTCACAGAAGACCAGTTTTAACCGTATGGGTCACTTGCATTGACCACAAGAGGAGGGAGGGATTCCTGGCTTCTCAGTTCGGCATAGCCTATTATATAAAACCTTAGCATGGCTGGGGAGGGTCTTCAGTGATGGCTCGGAGCCTCAGCCCTACATAATCACCCCGTTAGCATGGCCCCTGTTGGCACCATGTAGTCCGACAGAAGAAAATGATTGACCACACGTGGATTATTGTCACCAAACTTTCTATCTTCCTCGCCTCCAATTATTTGACAACCTCGTTTGAATCCAGCCAGCTACATCAACGAGGCGCTTTGTACTGCCTTTGTTCCAAATCGACTAACAACGAAATGTTCATAGCTTCGATGCAACCAGCAGGCTTAAATATGGCTACCAATGGTACGTCTTCGCACACATGGGTAATGCCGGCAACACACGACGTTTGGGCCGTTCTTTCGCTTAAACCCACAGTCAACACCCCTCCTGAAAGAAAGGAAACATTGCGCGTATATCTATCGTGAGTATAATCCAAATCTTCCACATCGAACACCGTGCAACCCAGCTACACTCACTGTGTAGCTGGGTTGTGTGTGTCGTGTGTGTGTCGCCGCTAAAGTGAAGGCACAAGAGCTTCACCATAACAGCAAATTCAATTAAATACACTCATTCACTCTCTCGTTGTTAAAAAAACGATACCGACCAACGATGTATTCAGAGCTTAGGCTTGCAAATGTAATGCTTACCTTTTCTGGGGTTTTCGTTAGTGATAAGAGCGGACAATACTTTACTGCATAAGAATAGGAGACACGCCCACTTCCGAGCATTTGGCGACGGATACGTGGTAGGTTGATGTTCTAACAATTCTGTCAGGAACTATTTACAGCGTAAAATAATGCGTGCGGTGGGGTAAAGAAAGATCCGCGCCACCTTGTTTACACTTCTATTCTCGATCACATGCCGATCAATAGGCCGACAACATATTCGAGACTGGTCTGGTTCAAGCGAATTTATTTGCGTAAAAACTTGTAAAATACTGGTAAGTCAGATCTTCTACGCGTGAACTCAGGAGGATGTTTGATCAGTGAGGATGCCAACTAAAGTACAGTTATTTCTTTTAACCCCTGAATTGCAAGTGCTCCTTTTGTAGTCGTTGGTCGCTCGTTATTCATATGATCAAGATTGGGGAGGCCAGTCTTCTGAAACAGGCTACTTGGCGACCATTAATATAAAATTCGATTTTACCAACCGACTAAGTTCAGATGAGTGTCACGGGTCCAGGAATATCTGGCCTTTCCTTCTTCCGCATCTTTATTTGTCTCACAAATGCGCTCAAGTGTAAAGACACTGATCACGATTTCCCACTCGTTCCAATTCGGGCCTCAACGTGTGACGTTATCATCCTAACGTCAAACGGCCGCAGCCAACATCTCTCGTGTCGCCCACCGGTCCAGTACGCCACCGGCTGTGTGGGCGTGTAAGTCCCAGAGCTGGAATGCCTATATCTGCCATGTGAAGTGGACGAGCCTGGTAAAAATGAATTTCCCAGTCAGGATTCAATGAGTAACGTCAAGATTCTGACGTCACGGATGGCGGCGAACAGCTCTCGTCGTTCTCACCGAGCTAGTACGTCACCACCTGTTCAGCCGACGAGGACAGAAAATACCTTGACAAGCAGACTCACGTCAACGACGATGAAGTCCCCGGGCTGAAATGCATATATCTGTCACATATAATCAACCAGCCTGTTGAAAGTGCATAACCTATGCAGCTGCATATTGCAAAGCGCTTATGCAAACACGTATGACATCACATTTCCGTGGGACGAATTCATCTCATGCCATCCTCAGTGTATTCCAGCACATGCAATGGACGTTTTCTTCGGAAACATTCCACATATTCAATCTCTGGACGGCCTTGCGAGTACTCCGCGGCGGCAGCCCCGGCACAGAATTCAGCGATGATAGGCCGGGCGCCAGTGAGACTTCATCTTGTCTAGACACGCATGAGAGGCACCAGAGGCAGGGTGAGTGGGCCCATGTTGATGCGATTGTGTTGCACTAGCACTGTCCACAATGGTGCAGGAAAATGATTAGGCCGATGTATTTTGATAGCGTATAGAGATGCGGAGCTCTGGCAACGCAGTCGAAGTGAGACCTACTCAGGTCCCAGGAACCCCAAGATAACAAGTTATCCAACACACGATGCCGGAGTGAGACACGAATGTTGCGTGTGATTTGTTGATGCATGTTGTGCATATCCGTGTGCACGCATTTGTGATATGCAGCACGAGGCAACGGTTTCAACAGGCTCAATTTGCAATGCTTAAAACGTTCGGCATAAATAACATAGAATGTCCTGGTGATATAGACAAACGGGATGTACGTGGTACTTTGCTCGGTATAAGAGAGAAACGCGCCCTGCCTCTCAGCTCCTATTGTTTTTCAGCATTATGAGTTCGAACCCCATGATGAACGACTCGCGGTCGCTTGACCCTAGGCGCGAGTATTTTAATAGTTGAATACCAGAGACAGATATATTTTTTCCCGCTCATAAGTGAATGGCTACCCGGTAACTAACCACAAAGGATTAGCCGGGTATAGAGCCTCGCGATCATGTCTTCACACTAGCAAGCAAAGCTCAGGCGAAATTACTCATTCAACTGGGACGGTGACCTCCGAGAAATGACCTGACTGCAGGAAATAAGGTATTGTGAGCATGTGCTATGAGCCTGGTGTGATCCGTGCAAGGCATTCGGCATTCCTTTCTGTCTAAATTAGTTGTATAAACCTCATGCCGTCACCTCAATACAGTGATATTCCCCTTTTCGTCCAGTCACCACCAAATGCCATGCTTCAAATCGCTCCGAAGCCCGCTGTGTCTATGTATTTACACCAGCCGGGAATCAACTTAGCAGCCTGACGAGAAGAATTTGTAGATAATTGGAAAACGATATGTTCAACAAAATCATTCAAATTCTGAAATCATCTTGAGGGTACTCAGATTCAATGCTCAGGGTGAAGGCGTAAATCAAAGACTAAGAGGACGAAAACGGGCTGCTCGAAAAAAACCCGCAAAAATCTCAATAGGTTCTTCCGCGGTGTAATTACAGAGGACATCCTCACAACAAATCAAGCACCGCCCCTATTTGCAAAAGCCACCAAGCCGACATCATTGTTATTGCGCACATAGCGAAGGTGAACCCGCTTAACTTAAGAACCCCAAGCTCGTTTAAGCCTGGCGGCAATTTCCGAGGCTGTGGAGAAAAATTTCCATCAGCGACATTCCAGCCGTGCCACCTGACATTTAACGTTCGGAAAAAGCAAGAATCGCACAATGCTGACAAGCTCCATATTGATGGGCGTACAATGGATGGATGATGCTTGTATGCATGGACGAGCCGCACCATAGTGAGGCCGTACTGCGGCGGGCCATGGACAGAGGAAAGTATTGGCGGCATTAGGTATGTACATACGGAATGCCAGCTTTCCCAGCCTTCTGGATCCGAGAAACGGATGGCAAAGCATTTCTATGTCCCACCTCCACTGGTTTCTGTGGGCCTGTCCTTGGCCTTTCTAAGCCTCGCGGAGCATCACGAAGCGGTCGGTTTTTACGATCCCATTTCGGATCAACCCGAAATAGGTGCATCACGGTAAAGTTCCCCAATATCGGGCGTCAGGCACGTGTCAGAGCAGCACCTCTCGGGAGAATATCCTCCCGGAAAACTGCGCTGATCACGACCGGCCCTGTGCACCGTGACGTCACAATCCCGTGCCGCATACATAAGGAGCCGGCCGCTGGGGACTGCACACAGAAGCGTTTGGTGGCCAGACCAGACAGCAGACGAGC